GTTCTCCAATTTCAGAGGTGCTTAAGCGATGGAGTAGGCTCGGATTACCTCGACAATAGGCGCTCTACACAATGGGCATTTCCCTCCTGTTCTGACCAGCTCGTTACCGCAATTTGAGCAAGTGCACATGTGCCCACATCTACAGATGTCAAAGATCCGCAAAGATATTATCAGACAATAGTTTTGGTTCTGTAAATCACAAACCTACCGGATTTTGAGCAAATATTTTACCTGTACAAGAGGGCATCTATTTCAGTATCGCAGCAGACGCAGCAAGTCCCATTCCTTACATGGCTCCATCTCGACCCATCCTCGGATGTTCCTGGTTCAAGACCTGAGGACATCATCAATTTAGTTTACAGATTGTTCGACATGTAAAGTAGGAATGAATTTGGAGGGGAAAACATAAACCTTCTTCACCACGAGATCGGTGTAAAGCCGCAGAGACCTCTTGTCTAACCAAACGCTGCAGCTCAGACTGCATATCCATACAAGTTTCTAAAGTCCTCTGCATATGGCTCATTCCTTGCTGAAGTCTCGCCACGTCTCCTCTCAAGTCGTTCATTATCTCCCATTCCTACTCATAAAAAGCACCCAGATTAAGACCTTAAAGTGATAAGAAATCTTTGACGCGGCACAAGGAACTAATACACCATTTGTATGATAAGTGCACCAGAAACAAAGCTGATAAGAGGGAAAAAAAGGAGAGCCAAAAAAATTTAGGCTTACAAATTCAGCTCGATGCATAGAGTGACGAGTGTAGGTAGTTTGATGCCATATTGGCTGTGGTGGAGGCATTGGTGGAGCTGGCAGCGTTTGTGTTCGATTGGTGCCATCAAGCTGTTCATCGTTCTGTAGAAACCCTTGTTGCTCTGTGCGATGTTCTTGAAAATCCGGTCTTGCTGCTTGCATATCCCAGTCCACGTGAGTATGTCCGCTTCTCCTCTCAACGTACGATTGTATCAGTTGATCCAGATTTTCACGGAATTCACTACGTAGTAGATTAGAAACATTTCTCCTACGATTATGAAAGAAAATTCATTTCGTTAAACGAAAAGCATATACCCCGAGAAGTATAAGAAAATGGATCTACTGTTTAAGCTTCTAGTTACCTGCTTAGGAGCTCTCGAAGTTCAATGCCGTAAACATTATCGTCATCAGATGGAAGGAACCTGTTTAGTCTTCTCAGCGGTACTACACGATGATTCCTTGGGGCACCAAACCGTGTTTCAGACCAATTCCCGTCAGATTGTCTAGAGCTATTTGCAGGCCATATACTGTAACCTTCTACTGTAATGGTTTCATTTGGATTTCCAGTTTCATCCCATTCCAGGTCATCGACTGAGTTTTCTTGCCTGTTTATACCTGTGTTACCATCATCCCTTTCACTGAACTGGCTTGACGATGTTTGCTGTGAATTTCGCCTCTCATCTCTACTGAGAACTTCAGGCCAAACCCTTTCGTGACTGGTATCTTCTTCCCAATTTCTATCCCCATTTGCTTGGTTTCTTCCTGACCTGCCCAAATCATTAGGTAAGAGGGGGCTATCATTCTCCTGTCTAGAAGAACTTAAACTCCCATTTAGCCGCTGAGAATTCTCAGCAGAGTTAGCTATTATCTGGTTATTCCTGGAAGTATTGTTGTTATCGCCATTAGTGTTGCTTTCTAGCCTGTCACGGACTCCTTCACTGTGACATAATCAATATCGATATAGAGAAATTAGCTGCCAGTAAACTAAATGTCAAAAAAGTTAAGTCAATAAAATGAAAAATCAAAGGCAACCATCTTTCAATGAGTGGGCAAAAGTAATGAGACAGGAATGAGTAAAATGTTTATCCATTCAACAAGAACTAACAAAAAGATTTACCGCAAACCAGAAACTGTATGTCTTTCTCTTAGCTGGTGGAGTTCACTTGCTGCCATTGATGGAGCTCTTTCTTCCTCTGCAATTGTTTCGTTCCGCAAGAATCTTCCTCTAAGAAGCGACTGTGGAAAAGTTTACCAACGTTAGAAATCAATGGACAAGGACACAAGTTAAATATATGGTTTAGACCCCAGTCATAGCAGACAACATGCCGTGAAGTCCTTCTCACAATTTTCGTTCTCTTAATCAGGAACCCAAGACCGCTAAATTTCATTATTAGAGGGCAACGAGTAATTTGGTAACAAGCATACCATGCTAACTCTAGCCTAATCCAAACTTCAGCTCATAAATTCTCCATATTCTTATCATACAACTACAGAACCTGTTTATAGTATGCAATCAACGTTTGAAAGAAGAAGACAAAGATGGCTAGATGATTTCCTAAGAACAAACCTGAATCCGGTTGCGATGAGCGAAATCAGAGACTGCACGATGCTCCAACAAACCTTGAATTTCCCGCTGCCGCTCTCTTTCAATCCTCATGAGCAAATCAACCAATGCCTGCCTTCCTCGTAATCTCCTCAAGTCTCTACGAGTATGCTCCCGTTGCCCTTCCTCATTCTCAACGGCTAACCCTTCATGGGCCCTCTGAACTTGTGCTCTCTCGTGAATCCTGTCATCTTGTGAACTAAGAGATCTTTGATCTTCTCTTTGACTTGCACGAGCTCCTCTCTGCTCCCTGATAATCCTGACTCTCTCTCTTTCAGTATCAGCAAGCAATTCTCCTCTACGGTTATCTTCTCGCTGTCTTACATTAGACGAATAACCATTAGTTCCTCTATCCGTCCATCCACGCGCAATTTGTCTCACCCTCTCACTCTCAACGTCACCAACATCTGGAGACTGTTCTCTACTAGGAGACCCATAA